TTCACAGCCATTTACGGGCAGTACATACAGTCCTCCTTTGCCTGAGGCATTTCACGCCAAAGGACGCAAACGTACAATTCTGGTGTCGACGATGCCAAGAGTCGGGAATGTGGGATACAGCGGCAGGTAGGTGAAGAACTGGGTTTACGGCCGTACAGCGTGCTCGACCAAAAGTGATTGGAAGCGGTGCAAGTATATGCGACCTACGTCCGCGTCATAGAGAAGAGGGTGGGGTGGGGTGGGGAGAGGTAGGTGTCTAGGAGATCTCGCTGCACAGAGAGAAGGTTGCGAGGATCAAGTTCCTAAGAAGAAGCGGCTCATAGGAAGGACGGTGAGCGGAAGTGGATTGGTAAATCCACTTTTGAGAGGCTATAACTCGTTCATACGAACGGAGCACTGTCCTTTGCCCGATGCACCCCATGATCCTCAGTCAACGCATCACCACCTCCTAGATAATCCTAAACGACAGTCTAAACCCCTCTCATTTGTGGTGATCACGTCGACTTGCAAGAGGATCCAAGCTCGAATAGGAAGAGTCGAATGAAGGGGCATGCGTCGTCGCCCTTTGGGTCCGAGAGGGGAGGGAGCCTATGTAACAAGTATCGATCAGAATTCTTTAAACGCGCCGATGTATGTATGCTTATTCCTCTAGGTCGGACTTGTTCGCAACCAGGTTGTGAGTGCATCAAGACCTACTATCGAAATTGGTCGTGTAAGTAGGCAAAAAGAGAGCACGATGGAGGCCATGGGGGATGGCGGTACTTACGAAAGTCGTTATATGCGCGAGTCGTTAAGCTAAATTCAACGATTCCGGCGTCCTCGAGCTTGTCGCCAGCACAGTGAGTTGGTGATCAGATACGCCCTTGGCTTGGCCCGCTGACACAGGAAGTTAGAGTGTAAACAGGTAAAGAAAGGAAGAAGAAACACTTACTGATAAACTTTAGGCGCTTGTTACTCTGAGCGACATTTTCCTGCTGATGAGTCTTCGCTGGGCATGAAAGACTATAATGATAGATCAGCCATCTGGAATTACTCACGAGGATGGGATCGGGGTGAACTCACTGATAAGCCAACCTCATGATATCCTTGCCACCAACGAAATCCTTCAAGACTACCCGGCTTTTCCTTTGATATTCTTTAAGTCATTAACCTCCCTTTCATGCGCCGATTCCATCACAGGGTTTGTCAAGTCTTGGAGAATGCAATAACGACAAACGAGGCTTTGGCGAAGTCGACATTCGACCAACTTCCGTCGCTTCAACGCGTGACCCTCCGGTTCGTCATGTGGATGGCTGTTGCGGTAGTGAAAAATCCAGGAAAGCGCATCAGCTAGAACTCGGGGTTGAAAAAAGAGCCAAGAGGCTTGCCCCGTAAGAGCTTTACATTGAAGCCTGGTTGAACGATATGTTAGCAACATATTGAAATAACCAAAGGCATAGTACTCACTTGATAGTACGAGTTCGTCCATGACCATCCGCTGCACTTGCTACACCTTAATGTTCGTTCAGTGGCGCTTGAGGGCGGATAAAGTTCATTGCAGTTGCAAGGTTGGAGGTGATCATTCTGGGCCACTGGCGCTCGGATATTTCCTCGTAACGCCCACCTTCGTCCTTTGGATGCGGATTGTGATCTCTGTAAAGAGAGACTGTCACGGTCAGAAATCGGCAATGATCCATACAGATGGTTGCCAGCAGCATAAGTACTGACGAAATACAAAGTTCTCGTCCAATCATGAGTTAATAACACATTGCACGGTTTGCATTATCCCAAAGGAGGTGATACTAGGTGTCATAATAATGAGCAGGAGAACGGATAACGAGATAACAAAGAAATCTTTACCGTTCTTATGCCAATTCATGGGTTTTCACGAGAAGGAAGTGCGACAAACGTGAGCGGCTGGGCCAAACGAAGTTGTAGCTTTATGGAATGCGTATTCGAAGATCGGGCGTAGACAGGAAAGTCGTGGATGGGTGATGGCAGTCATCTATGCACGCCGCATTAAGGCGAAAGAGTGATGAGGTGCAAAGTCGACGCCGAGATCTGAGGATTAACGAAAAGATTAATAAGAGATACATTGATAGAGGGCAGAAAATACGCTACTGGATCGCATATTGTTATTGTCCCAGAGATGAAATGAAGCACCAGACGAAGGTCAATCGCGTAGAGCAAAAGAGGAGAGGTGAGGGTCGTGACCAACGCAAGATCAACGCCCAACGCGTCATGGACCACTATCATGCCTTGACGTCGCTCAAGACAGATCCAATACGTCGCACCGCCAGCTATCCCTGTCATTGCCTTTGCATTCTCAATACCTCGCAGTACGATCATTAAATGCCTCTTCGAGTTAGCCTGAGGCCGTTTGTTGGGTTGGATGACTCTGAGGTGCGTTTGCGATCTCTGCCGCCAGTTTCGCATTCTAATCTTATATAGTTCCCTCAAGCCCTGCAGCGTGCTACTCCATGGCGGTTCAGCTGCAATTCTGGTCGCAATATCGTGCGGTCTCACCTCGCAGACATGCGGCTTCATCCAGAGCAGCCGCCATCCTTCACCCGCAACACGGAGCTCCAATTACTTGAGCTTCTCTATTCCTTCCAGCCCAACATATCCGAAGCAGGATTCAGCGTTACCTCACGTCCTCTCAGCTCTCGTGTTCGTCATTTGATGCCGTGGTGTTGCTGCCAGATTCGCGACGACCAATTATCCTTGTGCGTCGTCCCCGTTGTGCAAGAAGAGGACCCACCACTGTTCTCTGCCGAACACTCCTCACCACCATCCACTTACGAGGCTACGGTTGCCGGCTACCCAGCAGCCGCAGACCAGTCGGCCACCTGGGTCCATTGACCCAGCAATCGCCACCGCTTTTGACCACCTCCCACAAGGCGCCCACCTCCCCGTCATCGACCGAACGGCAGACGGCCCATATGGCCCGTTCATTCTTGCAGATTGCTGTTTCAATAATCTGGACGCGGGGTTCGACGAGGATCCGTGAGTAAACCCTTTTTCTCTCAAAGTGCATACGAAGATCTGACGTTGTCGTTGCATTCATCAGGGAATGCTGTGATCTGTTTTTCCCCGTCTTCCCGACTCTTGCTCTTTACATTCTCGGCATGGCGAATGAACATTGTTCATCAACCTCCACCTATCACCACACTGGCCGATCAACCCGCTGGATAGACGTTGGCTTGGAATCTGCGTCAGATGTCCATCTCCGAATGCCACGATCCTCATAACCTACCTACATTTCCTCTACTTCTCTTCCCTCCGGACTGTTGCACTTTCCATATCATCGTACGACGAATTCGGGCGGATCCAAGAGCATCAGGACCATAGCCGCTTGAAGCAACGATGTCGACAAAAGTTTTTGCAAGAGACGGTCACCAAGACTTTGGTCGTGAAAGGGTCTGTGATTTTGACTGATCTTTCCGACGAAGTTGTGAAGGGAGAGGCGGCTGTCGCTCATGGAACGTTCTCTGACGTACGGAAAGGTACTTGGAACGATCCGATTGAGAGACGGCCACGGTCGGTCAGTTTCTTTGTGGTGTTGTGTTGCAAGGTTAGCTCACGATATCATTCAGGTTGCTATCAAGGTCCTGCGTCAAGTCATGGTACAAAATGTTCGAGAGAAGCTCATCAAGGTATGGAATACGTCTGTTGCTTGAATGTTTTGAGCTGAAAGGATGCTTTGTTAGCGACTTAAGCAGAGGTTATTGCTTGGCATCGTTATGTCATCGCAATGTGTCGCAGCTGTTTGGGATAGTGCATCTTTCACAGCGCGTTGGCATGGTATCGTCTTGGTGCGAACATGGGACGCTTTGCAACTATCTGAAGCATTTCCCCTGCGTGAACCGATCAAGACTTGTTGCGTATTTCAAATCATCCACTGACTTTCGTTTCATGATCTGACTCTTGTTGTTGTAGCTCGCCCAGGTTGCTTCTGCCATTGCCTATCCCCATACAATCAGACCTACCATCGTCCATGGGGACTCGAAAGGAGTCAGGCCTCTTCGTTCGTCCTCTCGTCCTCCCTGCTGACCCCCAACTCAGAAAAAGGAAACATTCCGATCGATGAGCATGTGTATGCGATCATCACCGACTTTGGGCTCTCCAAGGTCATCGAGGAACTTCCGGCAACGGGATACACATCTGGTTGCCAAGTCCCCCTCCACATTCGCAATATCACCAGGCTACACGCGCGAGGATTCGCGACCCCTGAATCGACGAGCCTTACCCGCAAGATGATGGGGTGTGAAGAAGAGAGTCAGTCTCTTGGCAAACATTGTTCTTCCTGCGATGCCCTGGAACTAAATCGCGCCATCTCCCTATGTTGACGGCACATCATCGATGGCTTGAGGAGATGCTTTGGGCTTCCGAATCGCCACCCGAATATGGCAACGGGCGTAGACACGGTACATTGCTCAAAATTCTTCAGCTGGAAGTATATGTATCCGTAGCTTCACGATTACTTCTTATTCGCTTCTTGATGGACAAATTATAGGTACAGCGCAACCATTCACCTTAAGTCTTTACGTCTATTTTTCACACCGCGGGGAACTCATCCTTCCCCACTCACACATTTTTAGCCAATTCAATAAATTCTAATTTCACCAACGCGTCCAAGTTCGTTCTATCCCCCACCTCTTTCGAAAGCGACAGTACATAGTACGAACTTACCCACTTACCCTCACCCTCCTCCTCTGAGCCGCTTCATCCTCGCAACCTCCTCTCTGTGCTGCGAGATCTCTTAGATACACATACCTCTACCCACCGCACCCTCTGCTCCATGACACGGACGTAGGTCACGTATACTTGCACGGCTTCCAATCACTTTTGGTTGGGCCCGCTGCACGGCCGTAAACCGAGTTCTTCGCCTGTATCCCGCATTCCTGATTCTTGGCATCATCAACGCGAGAACCGTCACGTCTGCGTCCTTGGGCGCGAAATGCCTCAGGAAGAGGAAGGTATGTAGGTACTACCTCGTAAATTGTCGTGAAAATAGGAAGTGATAGCAATCAATGAGTGCCCGTGATGTTCTGGGAGATAACGAAATTGCGATTGACGTTGTGCTAGTAATTTGAGTATCAATCGGTCAAGCTACGGTTGAGCTACGGAGTCAAACTGGTAAGTTTTATGATTATACGAAATCGTTCCACTGCAAGTAACGTATTCGAATGTCCTGGGTTTGACGACGGCTCGCGTACATATTGATGCCTGTCCAATTCTTCGGCGCAAGAGATCAGTCAAAATCACAAACCCTTTCACGACCAGAGTCTTGGTGACTGTCTCCTGCAGAAACTTTCGTCGACATCGTTGCTTCAAGCGGCTATAGTCCTGATGCTCTTGGATCCACCGAAACTCGGCATACGATGATATGGAAAATGCAACAGTCCGGAGAGAGAAGTAAAGGAACTGTGGGTAAGTTTGTAGGATCATGGCATTTCGGAGATGGACGTCTGACGCCTGTGCCGAGAATGTAAAGAGCAAGGGTTGGGAAGACGGGGAAAAAGAGATCACAGCATTCCCTGATGAATATAACGACAATGTCAGATCTTCATCAGCACTTTGAAAAAAAAAACGGTCAACTCACGGATCCTCGTCGAATCCCTCATCCCGACTACCAAAACAGCAATCTGCAAGAACGACCTCCTGGTCTCGCAAGCAATGCCAACGCAGAGCACTGCTTCGCATAAGCGCCAGCAATAGAGGTCCATCGTCTTAAAAAGTATCCACACACCACCCTATAGGCAACCGTTCGTCTGAAAACGACCGTATCAAGCCATTTGCCCAAGAATGCTCCAAAAAATCAATGAACCCATGCAAAATAAGTCGCTTGCGGTGCTTGGCGACGGATGGTTTATAAAGATTGAAGTTTAGTCCGTCTTTGGGCCCCTCGTAGCCTGACATCTGAAAGCTGACAACCATCTGACGGTACGCTGCGCTGTTGCAGAAACGAAGAAAGACAAAGTATTTGTGCAAGATCTCGACATCCCGTCGATTGAATGGTATGGATCGCTTGGTGTTTTCCTCGCTCCACACAGTTCGGTCCAGAAGATCGGTCACCACCGACCGAGCATCAGGCTCAAGCTTCGTGAAGCTTTGCTCGGCTTCTTTGAAGATTTTCTGGGTCTCGACATCAAGAAAGCCAGAGTTGAAGTCTTCAAATATGGTCCCATGCATATGGCTACTTGGTATCTCGTATGCTTCGTTTAATTCGTTATCTTACACATCGTATATGTGAACACGTTGTTTGTTTGTAGGTTTACCAGTTCCGTTGTAGAGATTTAAGACAGGTATGATTGAAGGTTGTCGTCGACGTACACATGCGACGGACAGAACTCCCAAAGGAAATGAGGGAAATAAGGTGAGGTGGAGCCCGACATGCTGTTAAGCGCGCGTCGGTGAGATAACCTAAGCCTTTGACAATGCAAGAACGTACCAAATGTCAGTCCACTCCTAGTTGCGTTGATGTGGACGAGAAGGAGAGCAGACTCTCCGAAGCATACCACGCGGCGGGGACCTGCGTCGTGGAAACAACTGGCGGATGAAACGAGCGTAACGCGCGTCTAGATAGCCATCATCAAGGCGATCGCGAAGTCGAAACCGAGTCCCTCTATTTAAACAAAGGTGGGAGACAAGTTAAGCTCGGAATACTGGTTATGTAGGTGGTCAACCGCCCGTGCCTGAAATGTCATCGGTCCTGAACACTGCTATCAATTCCGGAGCGGAAAGAAGAGGAATCATAACAGAACGCAGACACACGCCTGACATACGTCATATGGCTTTGATATTGTTGTCCAAGAGGCGTCAAGCAGTAGCGCTGGTGGAGAGTGGGGAAGAAAATCAGGCCAGAAGAAGTTGGGCAACTGTGATTCCATGCGGCTGGACGAGGCCTAGAAGATTGAATATTGCATGAATTTCCCGAAGAAGCCAACTGGGGCTTGGAGAGATAGGTCCTCTTGAGACATAGTACAAGAGATAGCTATCGGTCGATTCATTAATCACAGGATTAGCATGAGAAGGAGGTGCATACTCACTAGTGAGCTGATCTCCGGTTTCTCTCTGGAGAAGTTTGGACGTTTCGCGTAAATGAAACTGGCTCAATGAGCCGGACATCCTCAAAGATCGCGGATGATTTCTGTTGATTTCAAGGCACGTATGACAATCAAACGACGATGAGAGAGGATACTGAAGGTGTCGTTCGCCTGTCCTGGCAAAGACTTCGAAAGAAGAAGGGAGGTGGTCAAACGCGGTGGTGATTCGCGCTGAAAGATGGTCAATGGACCCGGGTGGCTGGAGTTCCGACTGGTCTGCGGCTGCTGGGTGGTCGGCAACCGTAGCCTCGTAAGTGGATGGTGGTGATGAGTGTTCGACAGAGCACAGTAGTGGATCCTCTTCTTGCACAAAGGGGACATCAAATGGCGAATATGAGAGTTGAGAAGGCGTGAGTTAACGTTGAACATCCTGCTTCGGATATGGCGAGTTGCAAATTAACAGAGAAGCTCAAGTCAGTGCCGCCGGAGCAGCATATCTGTGAGGGGAAACTGCACGATAGCGTTGCAGGGCTTCAGGGAACATTAGAAAGCGAAACTGGCGGCATAGGTGGCAAAGGCACCTCAGAGTTATCCAACCCAGCTTCAGCTATCAAATGGCCTCGAGCTAATCTGGTGCAAAGCCAATGAAAGGGATAACCGGCGGTCCCGTAATCCCTGCGATGCGTTGGATGTGTCTTGGTTTGGTCTTGGTCGACGTCAAGGCATGATGCGCGCGATGGTGGTCAAGAACTGTTTGGAACAAATATGACTCATGACGCGGACGCGTTGTCAAGTCCGCCTCTTCCGTTCTACGCGATCGTCCTTCGTCTGGTGCTTCATCTCATTTCTGGGACAATACCAATATCCGATCCAGTAGCGTATTCTTCGAATACGTATTCCATAAGGCTTTAACTTCGTTGAGCCCAGCCGCTCACGTCTGCCGCACTTCCCTCTCATGAAAACCCATGCATTGGCATAAGACCGGTAAAGAGTCCTTCGGTATTTCGTCATCCGTTCTGTCGCTCATTATCATGACACCTAGTATCAGGTCCTTTGAGATAATCCAAACCGTGCACTGTGTCTTTACTCATAATTGGACGGGAAGTTTGTATCTCGTGAGTACTTATGCTGCACTGGATCATTCCCGGTTTTTGACGGTCTCTCTACAGAAATCGCAATTCGTATAACCCAGGCATCCAAAGGATGAAGCTGGGCGTTACGAGGAAACATCCGAGCGCCAGTGGCCCAGAATCATCACCTCCAACCGCGCAATCGCAACAAACTTCAGCCAGCCAGCCTCAAAAGACACTGAATGAACATTTAGGTGTAGCAGGCGCAGCGGATGGTCATGGACGAGCTCTTACTATCAAGTGAGTACTACGCCTTTAGCTATTTCAACATGTTGCTAACATATTGCGCAACCAGGCGTCAACGTTAAGATCTTACGGCGCAAGCCTGTTGGCTCTTTGTTCAACCCCGAGTTCTCGCTAATGCGCTCTCCTGGATTTTTTACTACCGCAACCGCCATCCAGCTCCGACAGATCCATGACGAACCGGACGAGGGTCACGCGTAAGTTGGTCGACTGTCGACTTCGCCAAAGCCTCGTCCGTCCTCGTTGCATTCTCCAAGACTTGACAAGCCCTCTGATGAAATCGGCGCATGAAAGGGAGGTTAACGACTTAAAGAATGTCAAAGGAAAAGCCGGCTACGACAGAACGATTGGACCACTTGAAGGATTTCGTTGGTGGCCAGGGTATTATGAGGTTGGGTTTTCAGTGAGTTGACCCCGACTTCATACTCGTGAGTAACTCCAGAGAATCTTTCGTTATAGTCTTCTTCATGCCCAGCGAGGACGTTCATCAGCAGGAATATGTCGCTCAGAGTGACAAGCGCCTAGAGACGGGCCAAGCCAAGTCGACGTCCGCGTATCTGATCGCCGACTCACGGTAGCTCACGGTTCTAGCTACGAGCTCAGGGGTTGTCTTCTTCATCAAGGACGTCAGACTTCAACGAACCCGGATTACTCGCGCATACACCGACCTTCGTAAGTACTGCCATCCCCCTTGGCCTCCATCGCGCTCTTTTTCTGCCTACTTAGACAGATCAATTTTGATGATAGGTCTTGGTGCACTCACAACCTGGTTGCGAACAAGTCCAACCTAGAGGAACTAGAACACGTCGCTGGGTCCATGTACATGGGCCGTTCGGAGAGTCCTGACGGATAGTCGTTACATAGGCTCCCCTCCTCTCTCGGACCCAAAGGGCGACGACACATGCCCTTTCATTCGACTCTTCCTACGAGCTTGGATCCTCGTGCAAGTCGACGTGACCACCCCAACTGAGAGGGATTCAGGCTGTCGTTTAGGACTACCTTGGAGGTGATGCGTTGGCTGAGGATCCTGAGGCGCATAGGGCAAGGACAGTGCGCCGTTCGTATGAGTGAGTTATAACCCCTCTCAAAAAGATTTACCAATCCACTTCCGCTCACCTTCCTTCCTATGAGCCGCTTCTTCTTAGGAACTTGATCCTCGCAACCTTCTCTCTGTGCAGCGAGATCTCCTAGACACCTACCTCTACCCACCCCACCCTCTTCTCTATGACGCGGACGTAGGTCGCATATACTTGCACCGCTTCCAATCACTTTTGGTCAAGCGCGCTGTACGGCCGTAAACCCAGTTCTTCACCTACCTGCCGCTGTATCCCACATTCCCGACTCTTGGCATCGTCGACACCAGAATTGTACGTTTGCGTCCTTTGGCGTGAAATGCCTCAGGCAAAGGAGGTCTGTATGTACTGCCTGTAATTGGCTGTGAAAGTAGGAAGTAGTAGCAGGTTTAACGAGTGCTTGTTCATGTTCTGGGAGATAATGCAATTATGATTGACATTGTACCAGTTCTTGGTATAATTTGGGTACATATCAGTCCGTCAAGCTACGGAGTCAACCTGGAAGAGTGTTGTGGTTATACGTTATCGCTCCGTTGCAAGTAGCAGTTCAAATGTCCTGGCTTTGCCGACAGGCCGCGTGCATATTGAGGCCGTTCCAATTCTTCGACTCAAACCCGATCTGCTGAACGAGAAGAAGGCAGGTGTCAGTAACTATAGTCAATCACGTCTAATTCAAACTTAAAAGAGCCCATCAGCGATGGGTACATTTGTATTTGCGATGTTGCGGCAGTCAATGGCGACGACGAGCTGTGGATGGATACGCACGACGGAGAATCTACACGGTGAACGCTGCATCCAGAGACAATGTTTTGCTGGTCTCACGGGCAGACATTGCGGCTGTTGGGTGATATACCATGTATGTAACGACACATAGCGTCGGGAATCGGGTAACTGATAAGTTCAGGGCAACGAGTAGAGGGGCGCAACAGATCAGATGATCAATGTACGTGTGAGGTCCCTTCGTGAGTCGATGGACGAAGGGATGCAAGTGGCCGGGTCGTGCGAGCCATGGTGGACCTAGGAAAGGCGGTACGATCGTCGAAGTGGGGCTTGCATTGGTTTTATGAAACAGGACCTGTGTAACGGATGGGGGCAATCAGCGAGGCAAAAAATCGAATGTATGCGAGGCGATAAGGAATTCAGAGGTGGAGGAAGGGAGAAGGGTATGAATGATTGAGGAACGCAAAAACGATAACTTACCGAAGGAGAGATGGCCGTTATCCCTGCTCTCCAGCTCTTCGACTGAAGCGTGCGCTTATGATCGGGAGGACGCCAATAACCCTATGGTGTGTAGAGCTTTTCGAGTGCTTATTAGGTTCGTCGAGCTGGAAACACCCATCACGTCTGCAATGGAACGTTTGGAACCTGTGCTTTGCGGTTTGTACGCTTTCGAAGCGTGGCCGTCGTAAACGAAGTTAAGGGGACCGGAGCTGCCACAGAATAATCAGTATATCAGACTAATAGCTGCATGCGGAATAACGGGTGGGAGGGGGAGGTGAAGTTTGCAGCACAGAACGGGCAAACGAGGTAAGGTGGAAAGGGGACGAAATTTAATGGAAGGAAGAACATACTCAGAGCTGATGCACCCGGCCATCTTTGCGATGAATCCCATGAACTTAGTCTTCGCGCATCCTTTGAGTCTCAACAGTTCCCCAATCTCACTATATCGATACACGTTGACGAAAGCGGCCATCGCATTTCATTTTGATTGCACCGGGAGGTCGAGTAAGAATCTCTAGGGGGTTCGCGGCGGAGCTGAAGCCATGGGTGGATCCCATGCCGAACAAAGACAGCATTGACTTGGCAACAACAATTTTGAAAGGAGGGGGGCCCTTGGGTGGGTCGCAAGGTATCAAAAGAAAAAGGCGTAGATGTGTTTAGCGTTGGGTCGTCGATCACTGCGAAAGCTTTGGGAGAGCCTTTTCCCACAGCTGACTGTGCGCATCCTCCTTTCGTCCCTTTGAGTTCCGTCACTCTGGAGAGGTGTTCATTGTTTTGCTTCTCGGTCACCGTTGACGGCCGTCCTTTGTGCGTCTGCTTGCTGACTTGACGCCGAAACACTTTTCGGAACGTTGTGCGAGGGACGTCAGCTGACTCAACTCAAGTTCGAGGAATTGCCCAATCAATGGAGAGGCGCATGGTCCGCAAAGCCGGCGTGATGTTTGTTGATGTTTGTACTGCCCATATTTACAGTGATCAATGGTTAGGCAGCTTTTTGGCCGCATCTCGGCAGATTTCGGCCAGATTTTTGTCCATATCGGGGCTAGGTTCCAATGCGTAGGGGGTCTTCAGAGTGGATTTTTGAAATTCGCGTTGCATTGGCAACATCATGACATGATAATACACTCAACAGTGAAAAATAAAAAAAATAGTCTGTAGACCCCCAAGAGATGCATGCCATTAATCGACTAGAAAAAAAATGGGAGTGATGGAAAGTTGTGGTGAGGAGAAAAGTTGTTTTTAATTTTTGACGCGCCAGCTGTAATTAAGGGATTACATAACACGTGTCCAAGACGCGTCGAGCCCGCAAGGTGTCGCGAAAAACGACGTACCCTCCATGCTAAGACGTTATTCTTCCTGAAAACACTTATTACTCACCAACATCACACTCTGAATGGCTCTAGGTCCAAAAAAGCGAAGGAGAAAGTCCAATAAACAAAGAAAGGCAATTCTTCGTGCTCAAGAAACCAGTAAAAACCAGCGTTGTGCACTGGAGTACTCGGGAACAATCAATCGCATTCCTGTCTCACCAAATGCAGGCGTTGATCTAGAGTTAATTACTTTCCGGGACAGAAAACATGACAGTGGGCGCAAAGTGGGCGGTGATAAAAACTGACAGTGTGACTCTGACTGGTCTGAATTATATCCAAAGTAACATTATTGATATTCAAGATCTCAAAGTATATTATATGGTCATTTTAACAACCATAGACCAATGCTAGAGTGAAAACGTCGCTTGGATGCCAATTAGCCACATTTTGAGTGGCTGTGCGATTAGTCATCAGCCGCAATCGCTTGCGGACAGTGCGCGTCTCCACAATCAAGTCACAAGCACCGACCACCCTGGTAATAAACGCTATGGCGGTTTGAGGTTAGAGTCCATGATCTTGTGCTACCAGCTAAATGTCTGAATGCGCGGATGGCAGTAGCGTCTTGATAACTCCATCTTCCACCATCGGTGCAGAGGACATAGCCATGCCAGCCACCAGTGAGCCACATCTCAATCTTCCTGCCCCAAAGTGAACATTGATTGCTCATCAAAATCAAATTTGCAGGTGATCTGTTTGAAGTCCCTGGGGAAGGAGAGATTGAGTGCTCACAGCAGGTTTTACCTATCTCCACTGGTCTGTGTTAACCTCAAACCTCTGTCATTTCCTGAATTCTCATTTGCCTACCACTGTTGTACCACTGCTTCTGTTCTGAATGTAGGCCTGGTGTCAGTGGGTGCTGAAATGACTGTTGCCTGTGAGGGATACCACTCAATCTGTTCACTATAATGTTGATGTTGACCTTCATCAATTCTTACAGCTGATTCCGAAAACCTTGTCACTACGCGATTTTTCGCAACACATCAGCAATATAATATATGAGTGATATATGAGCTGAGTAACCAGGGACAGTAGGCTCGTTACCAGCCGCTATTGGAGGTAAAACGGGAGAAAAGAAAAAATGTGTATAGAATTACCTCCAATAGCGGCTGGTCCAACATAACCGTGATGAAGTACATGGGGATTTTAAACCCAGCCGATACCCGTTTTGGACGTGATCGAGACGCATGATCTCGACGCGACTCGCGTTGCCTTTGTGTACCTAGCCATTTAACCCCCTTTTCGTGCACTATCACTCCCAGTTATATTCCCAATGTTCATTACACCCAGAAAGCACACCCAAACCGACGAAAACGCGACACCAACGCCCACTTTCATCAATCATTCGGGTCCCCCAACAAAGAAAACCCGCCGTGTTCTTCAGCCAATCACTCCTCAAATTCGAAACGAATCGCGCAAGCTGTGGCTGGAGAAGGACAAGGAAGTTGCGAAGGAAAAGAGTCTGCAGGAGCAGCGGGCTGCAGAGGAGAAGCAGAAGCTGGAAACCAGTCGTTTGGAGGAGATGGAAAGGGCGAGGATTGCTGCAGGGTACACGTCCCTCTTTGGATACATTTCTGAACTTTTTGGCACCAAGGATCGTCGTCTTTCCTCTCAAGTATCTCAAATGCTCATAGCACATGGAAAAGAGTTGTTAGATGCCATGCATGTCCGTCAAAAGGTTGTGGTGGAGGAATGGATGTCAGCCCATTTTCAGGACAAGCTTCGACACGAGGGATTTTTACTCGGGAGGGTTCTTCAGCCTGATAGGGGGAAGGAACTGTCTTCCATCCTCCAGGAGTTCTCGCTTGAGACACTGCTCAAGGATGCGCAAAGTGTCGCTCCCACTTTATTCAGCTTCCTCTCCATTCTGTGCAATGTTTGGGCGGTCATTGCTTAGTGCCACGAGCTGCGCATCCTTCGTGATCGAGAGCCTGCGCCGGATGTCATCCAAAATGTGGTCGGGCAAGGTTGCAGATGCGATCATCATGACAACGTGAGGGGGAAGACGTGCCCGAAGGACGCCAAGTTCAGCGTAATCAGGACGGAAGCTTCCACCCCAGAGACTAACACAGTGAGCTTCGTCGATGCAGACTGCACGAAGATGGTCCGTGAATTCAGTCTTAGATAGAACTCCTGCCCGGAATGGAGCTGAAACGACGATCTCCGGGGATACGATGACCTGACGGAAGCTCCCTGAAACGATGCTCTATTGAAATGGGTAAGGAACAGTGCTAGAGAGATTGAAGAAGGACGTGCCTCGAAGAGTCTATCCCTGCTACCTGCCTCAGCAATTGTCTCACTGCAAACTGCTGCAGTTGGGATGGTGGAGGAACGAGCCTAATTTGTTATTAGTATGATAATATAAACCTCAAAAGGAGGAGACTTACCTGGTCTATCATAAGTGCAGACAACGGTGATACAATCATATTGATGTCCTTCGGATCCATGAGCAGTGGTATACTGAACACCAGAGTCTTCCCATTGCCTGTTCCAACATCGAGGATTACGTCTTGGCCACACAAAACTGAGACAGAGGCATCTAATTGCCAGTCAAAAGGTTCCCTCCCAAGCTGTTCATTGCAATGCTGAGCAAGGAGACGACGGTCGACCTCATGTGGTTTGTACTGTCAGACTGCAACACGACGAGGTCTTGATGACCCAGTGGCCGCGGCCATGTTCTTCGATTAGCGCACAGCGGTGAAAAAACCATATTTATTGCAGGAGAAGGTGAAACTTGGTGAACGCGAATGACGACGCGCAATGACGCGCCTCGATCATACCCAAAAAGGGTATCGGCTGGGTTTGAAATTCCCATGTACTACGTTACGGTTATGTTGGACCAGTCTCCTTGGGTGCTAATTCTTTCCACATTTTCTTCTTTTCGCGTTTCTTCGTCTCTAGCACCCTAAGGAGACTGGTTTCGAGTCTACAGGGACAGGGCTAAATTGGCGATTTCGAAGATTTCAGATCAATTACTAATCTAATCAAACGTTGCGGGGAAATAGTATTTTCGACTTTTATCATAGGGGGAAATAGCTTGAAGATACAATTATGGTACCTACGGAATCCCTTCAATTTACTCTACCTCATCATGCAAAAATCCAGAGCACTGGTCATTTCTGACTTGCAATATGGTAGAAAGTGAAGCTCGTCACACATGTCACAGCTGTGACATTTCACGCCGCCGTTGGATGGATCAGATAACATTGAACATCTGCTCGTTTCCTCTCCCCTCTAGTGCCACACTTCAGCTATGGTGTTTCGGCACATTAGTCAAGATCTAAAGGAGCGCGTTCTGTGGCTCCTTGAAAATGACTTCATTCCTGACGATGTTGCAGACATATTTGGTGTT